AATATGTGCGGCGACGCAAGGCAAAGTTCGCGCTGGGTGCTCCACAAAACCTGGCTTGAACCAACAAATTGCTAATCTTAAGTCGGGCGTGTCCCCCTACAGGAGGATGTTCGACGAAAAGCCAAAAAATACCCAACAACATACCCCAAAATGGTAAACAAATGCTGAAAACATGTCCCCTGACTATTTTTTTACTACTTTTGAATATTCCCCCTGTACAGGGACAGGCCCGACTTACGGGTAGTCCACAAAAACTGGCTTGAGCCAACAAGTTGCTAATTGCAGGCCGGGGTGCCTCTCTCCGTCCCCCTCCACCTCCTCCCGACTGCGCTGACGACCCAGCGCGCCTTCGAGCCCCCACGTCGCCACCAGGATGCTGGAAACACACATGGCTGGGTTTTCACGGCAAGCCTTAAGTCGGGCGTGTCCCCCTACAGGGGGGATGTTCAACGAAAACTAAAAAATACGCAACAATTACCCCCAAATGGTCAACAAATACTCCAAAAATAGTCCCCAGACTATTTTTGCATTACTTTTGAATATTCCCCCTGTAGAGGGACAGGCCCGACTTAAGGCAAGCCACGCGCTGGGTGCACATGCGGAATGCATCTGGCCACGTGTGAATCCAGCGCTCGCCCAGGCTGGCCGCATTGCGTATCCAGCTACCCAGGCATCCGACGTCATGGTTTGTGACCCAGCGTGGCTCCCCAGAGATCTGGACCTCTTCCTGGGGACCAACTTCTCATCCTGAGATCAAATTCCCAGAAACCGTCCGTCGCGATTTATTCACGATGCGAAGATGACAAGATTCCTCGCAAAATTCCTCGCGCATGGTCACTCCAACACCGTATTCAAAATCGGAACGCACACGGGAGTGCATCCGAGAGGGCACGCGACCGTCTCGAGGGGCAATAGGGCCTAAACTCTGGCCAGTGGCCCAACCCTGGGCAGCTTCACGTCGCTGGTGGTGAGCCTCCTTGTTGAGATCCGCGCGAGGGGTGTGCAGGAATGGGCAGGAGTACGCATGCGAACCCTGCCGCTGGGGCTGGAGGTGGAGCTCCCTATGGGGCACGATCCGTGTGAGGTGTGCCAGAAATCAGCAGGGGGCACCTGCAAGCCCTGCTGCTCGGCCTGTAGGTGGAGCTCCCAGCAGGGCACGTTCCGATGGAGGGGTATAGCAACGAAGTGAGCGGGGCGACGCATTCGCCTCCTTCTGTGACAACAATTGGAACTCCCCACGGGGCACGATCCGTGTGAGAGGTGTGCCGGAATTGGCGGGGGGCCATTTGCGAACCCTGCCACCGGAGTCACAGGTGGAGCTCCCAAAGGGCACGATCCGCCTGAGGGGTGTGCCGAAATGAGCGGGGAGACGCATTCGCCTCCTTCTGGGGCCGTAGGTGGAGCTCCCTATGGGGCACTATCTGTGCAAGGGGTGTGCCGAATCTAGCGGGGGGGCGCATGCGAACCCTGCCACTGGGGCCGTAGCGGGGGCTCCCTCGGGGACACGATCCGTGTGAGGGGTGCGCTGAAAAGGGCGGGGCCGCGCAAGTGAATCCAACCGCTGGAGCCAAAGGCGGGGCTCCCTGTGGGGCACGATCCTCGCGAGGGGTGCCCCAAAATGGGTGGGGGGACGCAAGCGAACACTGCCAGTGGGGCCGGTAAAGGGCGGGAGGACGCCTGCGAACCCTGCCACTGGGGCCATTGGCGGGGCTCTCTGGGGAAGCACAATCTGTGCGAGGGGCCCACCGAAATGGGAGGGGGGGCGGAGGCGAGCTTTCCCACTGGGGCCGTAAGTGGAGCTCCCTATGGAGAGGCCTCCTAGATGGGATCCGAGTAGATGGGGTCGGAGGAGCTTGCCGCATCGCCGATACATCGGCGATGCATCGCGGACGCATCGGCGATGCACTAGCGATGTCGGCGGTGCATCGGCGACGTCGGCGTGGATAAAATTGGGTCCCACATCGAGCCACATCGCCGATGCATCGCCGATGCATCGGCGATGCGGCGCGATCCTCCGACCCCATTTACTCCAACCCCATCTAGGATTAGGTCGGGCATGTCCTCCTACAGGCGGATTTTGGATGAAAAAAAAACAATTAGCCTGGCGAAAGACCCAACCATACGCAGTTGTGACTACCGCAATTGTGAATAACATCACGGCGCCCCCCTGACCGAGGAGCAGAAGCAGGAGAGGGCTCTAAGAGCCATGAGGGAGGCTGCCACTGGGGCCTTCGGTGGAGCTCCTATGGGGCCACGATCCTCGTGAGGGGTGTGCCGAAATGGCCCGAGGCCGCCATGCGAACGCAGCCACTGGAGCCTTCGGTGGAGCTCCCATGGGGCCACGATCCGCGTGAGGGGTGTGCCGAAATGGCCCGAGCCGCCATGCGAACCCTGCCACTGGCGCCTTCGGTGGAGCTCCGTATGGGGCCACATCCTCGTGAGGGGTGTGCCGCAATGGCCCGAGGCCGCCATACGAACCCTGCCACTGGCGCCTTCGGTGGAGGCCACGATCCTCGTGAGGGGTGTGCCGAAATGGCCCGAGGCCGCCATGCGAACGCTGCCAATTGGGCCTTCGGTGAAGCTCCCTGTGGGGCCACGATCCTCGTGAGGGAGTCCGAAATGGCCCGAGGCCCGCCATGCGAGTTCAGGCCCACTGAGCCTTCGGTGGAGCTCCCTATGGGGCCACGAACCGTGTGAGGGGTGTGCCTGAATGGGGGGTGGAACCGCATGCGAGCGCAGCCACTGGGGCCTTCGGTGGAGCTCCCTATGGGGCCACGAAACGTGTGAGGGGTGGCCGAAATGGGTGTGCGGGACGCATGCGGACGGCAGCACTGGGGCCTTCGGTGGAGTTCCCTGTGGGGCCACGAAACGTGTGAGGGGTGTGCCGAAATGGCCCTAGGCAGCCCGGCAACGCTGCCACTGGAGCCTTCGGTGGAGCTCCCTATGGGGCCACGATCCTCGTGAGGGGTGTGCCGAAATGGCCCGAGGCCACCATGCGAACGCAGCCACTGGAGCCTTCCGTGGAGCTCCCTCTGGGGCCACGATCCTCGTGAGGGGTGTGCCGAAATGGCCCGAGGCCACCATGCGAACGCAGCCACTGGAGCCTTCGGTGGAGCTCCCTATGGGGCCACGAAACGCCGTACTGGGTGTGCCGAAATGGCCCGAGGCCGCCATGCGAACGCAGCCACTGGAGCCTTCGGTGGAGCTCCCTATGGGGCCACGATCCTCGTGAGGGGTGTGCCGAAATGGCCCGAGGCCACCATGCGAACGCAGCCACTGGAGCATTCGGTGGAGCTCCCTATGGGGCCACGAAACGCTGTACTGGGTGGGTGAAACGCAGGGAGGAGAGGGGAGGAGGAGGAGGAGGAGGAGGAGGAGGAGAGGAGGAGGAGGAGGAGAGGAGAGGAGACGCGGGCCACCGTCTCTTCAAAACGAGGACCCAACACCACAGGATGGTTGGGAACAAAAGCATTCAAACATAATTAGATATATATATATATATATGTATATATATATATATAAAATAGCGTCCCCGTACTATTTTTCCTATGTTTGAATATTCCTCCTGTAGAGGGACATGCACGACTTACACCTAGGAGGCCTAGACTACGGGGCACGATCCGCAGGAGGGGTGTGCCGAAGTCGGCGGGGGCCCGTGGCACGCGAGGGAGCCCGTGCCCCTGGTGGCCGCAGACGGAGCGTACGATCCACGTGCGGGGTATGCGCTGACAGCTCCCCGAGGCATCGGATTTCGTTTTCTCTTTCCTCCCTCCCCCCCCCCTCCTCCCCCTCCTCCTCCTCTTCCACCTCCTCCTCCTCCTCCTCCTCCTCCTCCCTCCTCCTCCTCCTCCTCCTCATCCTTCTCCTCCTCCTCCTCCACCACCTCCTCCTCCTCCTCCTTCCTCCTCCTCCTCCCTCCTCCACCTCCTCCTCCTCCTCCTCCTCCTCCTCCTCCTCCTCCTCCTCCTCCTCCTCCCCCACCTCTGGACCGGCTCTGTGGGGGCCCCCAACGGGGTGGTAACCACACCGTGTGGTGAGTTGGTGGGGATTCGGAGTCACTGCACGGTTTTGGGACTCGGGTCGTTGTCCGAGGACGTCTCGGGCGACGGGGGCCTCCGAGGTCCCAAGACCGTGCGGTAACGGACCGTGCGGTGAGGTCTCTTGGGGTTTCGAGGTCACCGCACGGTCTGTCACCGCACCGTTTCGGGACTCCAAAGGGCTGGTGGGGGGACGGCAGGTTCGCGTCGTGTCGACCCCGGCGCTGGTTCCTGACACTGCTGGGATCGTTCAAACTTGAACGATCGGCCGTTCCAGTAACGCCGGATCGTTCAACGACGGGCCGATTCTGGGCCACGGGCGGCGTTCAACCTTGCACGCACGCGCTGGGGTCGCCGCCAGTCGGCAAGACGCGAACCTGCCGTACGCGAGGCGTTAAGAATTTGTCTCGTTGGCTGCTGCCGCTGTCCCTCGAGCTGGCTCCCTGGCGCCTGTACCCTTATACAGTGGGAGCTCGACCAC